TATTTTAAAGTCCCATCTAATGAAAACCAGATTAAAAATTAACTGATAGGCCTACCTTTTTAAATACTTTGACAGCTTCTGGTATTACTAAATCAGATGCATGACTGGCTAGCCACACAAGCTAACACCTCTGGATCCTGAAAATGAATCCAGATTTTAACTAACACATTATTGTGGGTTAGCTGTGTGTGTCTCCTGTTTAGATGTCAGTACTTTGTTGATAGAGTATCGGAATGAACGGACACACCTAGTGAAGTAAACGACGGTAAATCCATGCTAACAGACTGGCTAGCGTGTTGAATGCTAACTTAGCACATTAGCTTCCTCAGCTGTCATCCTCTAGCTGTCAAATACAGACTGCACTCGGGCATATAATAAACGAACCACCGGGGCTGAAACAGCAGAAAGTAGCACTCGACCTACCCTTTTCCATGTTTCCGTGGAGCTTGGGAAGCGTTGTCTGTTTTCCTGAAAAGTCACCGGCTCTTTGTTTATCTCCTGCACCGAAAGTCAGTCGGTGACGGTGTGAAAACAGGGTGCGCTCGTTTGGGCACTCGCAGCCGGTGTTTGACGTGGCGGATGGGCGGAGTTATTGGAAAAAGGGACCGCACCAAAATAAAAAAAAAATAAAAATAAAAAACAACTTATACAGAAAATAATGTATTTAATGATTGTATTATGTATATTACACTTATATTATTGTGTAACCTGTTATTATTTTTTATTTTTTTACTTTACAAATTCAAACTCAGACAATATAATATCAGTAATATTTATTTCCACATGTATATTTTCCACATGTATATATCTTATTTTTAACTTTGTAACTTTTTAATGCTATTTTATTTCTATTTCAGAACTATTTTGGACTGTTTATTTCTAGTGTCTTAATTTCTCTTATTGCCTTGTTTTTTATGATGCTGCAACGCAAACATTTCCCAAATTGGGATCAATAAAATACTTATCCTATCTATCTATCTATATAAACAAGTAGTGTTTAACTGTTTCAAACATATGGATTACGGTACAGTTTTTTAATGTATATTTAAATCTAATTACACACATTTTTACTGTAGTATTTTTTCCCCAAAATACTCGCACAATACTACTTCTTACATACATGCTGGACACATACAATAATTGTATTTTATTTAGATATATACATTTTATTTTACAATAGGCTTTATACAAAATATCATGTGTATACACTTTCATGTGTTAAGTTATTGTTTTGGTGACCATATCAACCTGTCTGGATCTATTACCAAAGTAATTATGAATATGGAGTCCTGCTGTGAAGTAACCTAATTGAACTAAGTAGGCATTGTCATTGAAATTGCCTGACACAACAAGGGAATTTCCAGTGGTTATATTTTGCAGTTTTTCTTCCACAGAGCACCACTACCCTTATTTTATCGGACATTCCCACAACTCACGTGAGTAGCAGAGAACATGGAACCATCAAACGAGCGCGCCAAGAGTACAGAGAGAGAACAACTTGCCTGAATAAATACGGAATAAACGTTATTGTTTTTCAAAACAAAACCACGCTTTATAACTAATTGTAAGTAGACCACTTCATATGTGTACTTCATTCATTCCATCACTTACATTGTACACGCGTGAGGGGGATCACTTGATGTATGTAAGAAATGTTTACAGCAAGAACATGTTTTCTCTTTAAAAGTGACAAGCTTTTATTTTGAAAGTGGATTTTTTGCTAATACAAATGTTTGCCTTTTGTTGCTGGAAAAGTACAGGGTGTAAAAAGTCTCTAAAACATTTCACCATGTTGGAAATAAAGCTCTTTAAACCCTTAAAACTTTTTCTGCAAGCTCGGTTAAAAGGAAGTTATTTTATTTATTCAGTTATGAAAGAAGTATGAAAAACAACATCATTGCATAAACATGGCATAAACAGCCATGAACAGGCATAAACCATGCATCATATATCAGCCATTGAAAGGGCAAATACGAATCCAGAATTGTTTATATGCTCCAAAACAAAGAAATAAAATCTTGCTCAGTGTAACTGTTCCTTGAAACTGGCCCCTTTCCGGTAATTGAAGAGTATATTCCATTTATGAGGTCATGCATTCCTGTAATTTAGTATGTGAGCCTTGCAGAGTGTGTGTGGTGTGTGTGTGTGTGTGTGTGTGTGTGTGTGTGTGTGTGTGTGTGTGTGTGTGTGTGTGTGTGTGTGTGTGTGTGTGTGTGTGTGTGTGTGTGTGTGTGTGTGTGTAGGTGTGTGTGTGTGTGTGTAGGTGTGATTAGTGGGTTTCTTCCTTCCTTTACTTCCATCTGGACACCAGCAGCGGCAGCAGCAGCAGCAGCAGCAGCAGCATAAAGGACAGGCTATCGAGGAAAACAAAATGAGAGAAAGAGCGAGTTCATGGAGCCACAGCAACTGAAAAACATTCTAACAAGTAGTGTATCCTTCGCTGACATGCATATCAAACTTCTAAACAAGCCCTGACTTGATCGGCAAAGAGGAAGTGAAAGACATTTGTCATGAACGGAGACAAATACTGTTACTGCCAGACATGCGTTACCATCTCCTGAGTGCCATCAGCTGTCTCTGCCTTCTTCATGCTGGTAAGTCGTTTTTTTTGTGCTACTTGCACGTCTTAGGAAGTCTCATTCAAATTCTCATTTTAAATATGGGAAATCTCCCATTTGTTACATTTGACACATTTTGCTGGGTCAGACTACATAGTCTTGCCTTTCTCACACGTTGCACCCAGTATTAAAGCTCTTTTGCTTTTAACCTATGAACAATCTAAAACTCTCTGGTCTTCTGGTACTGTGCTTTTAACTATACCTAAAGACACAGACCCATGGTGAAGTGTCTTTTTATTATTATGGCCCATGATTGTGGAGGGCCCGATGGTCAGCATAAACTTTCAAGACCAACTCAAGAGTTAACTTTTTAATTTGGCTTTTAATTGAATTGTATTTATCCTTGTTTTATTCTGGTCTGTGTTTGTTGAATACTGTTGGTATTTAGTGTCTCTTGTCTTTACTACCTGGAAGGGGAGGTGTTAGTATTGTTATTGTTTTTGGTTGTGAAGAACTTTGGGTTACCTTTTAGGTATGAAACATAGTAAATACATACAGTTTGATTTGATCTGATCTGTTGTATAGCTTTAAAGGAGGTAACCCACAGTCTATGAAATGTTTTCCTATATGTTGTATGTATTTAGTGTGTGAATGTGAAATGTTTGTCAAACTGTACTGTATGTCTCTTGTCTTGTTGCTACACTATTTCCCTATATTCCGACATCAAAATAAATGTTTCTGTGCATGCGGTAGTTATCTGGTTAGGTTTATTCTGAATGCAGAAAACAACCCACAATATGTACAAACTATGTCTATTGAATCTAATTATGCAATCTTTGGTGTTGAAGTTCAATATTGGTCAAAATGTTCACATGTAGTTTCAATAAATGACCTTATCAAAGTATTATACATATCAAGGTAACAACAATCCTATTTGCATATTTCTGTGTATGCAGTTCTTTGCTGCACAATAATGAGCTAAAGGATCCTTCCCACTTTCAGTTGCTGAAGAATGCAGCCAGGTTGTCCTGGCAGACCGTGAGACGTTGGACGTCCCAGCGGGGGGCAGTTTGTCTCTGTCCTGTGTGGTCCAGCACTGTGGAGGCACCTGGACGGGAGACTGGATGCGGAAAAATTCAACTGAGGAAAACTTAATTTTCAGGCACCATGTGACCAAGGTGAATCTCTCAGCCAATCAAACTAAACTGATTTTAAATGTCCTGAATGTCCACAAATCAGACGAAGGTTCCTATGGATGCAGTGTTACATGGGCTAAAGATGACACTGAGCAGGGAAACTTGAAGTATGTGAACGTCACTGCAGGTATGTGGACTCATTTATAACATGATTATCATGACTCAAACAAGATAATCTAATTACCTAACTCGTGTCGCCCCTAGCTGTCTCCTCTCAGAGGAGTGTATTGCACAGGATTTTGGTCTGTGCCGCTGCTGCTCTGTCTCTTCCTGTCATTCTGGGATTGGCTCGTTGTCTGAGTTCAGAAGTCAAGCCTGTGCCACTTCCCAGGAAACGCTTCCCCCCCTCAGTTGCAAACAGAAACCAACCACACCCAGCTCCACAGTTACCACCGATACCAATGAAACGTAGCACTTCCTCTCACAAAGGTATCCAGATTTCATATTTTTTTGCCTGTAACACTGGTAAAAAGTATATTTTCAAAATGTCTTTATTTACTGTGTTGTTATTTTTTGTATTTTACAGCCATTCCAATCGCCAGGCAGAAGACTGAGGTAAGTGAACGCCCCGTTTCAAGACATGATGCCCTGAAAACTATTTGTTTCCTCTCACTAGCCTTTAATATGCCAAACATGCCCTTGAGTGTGCTTAAATAACTTTTTTTTATTTGTAGGTGGTGTATGCAGACATTTCCCAGGATGCATTGAGACAGCAGGGAGTCACCAAAAAGCCTGACCAGTCCACTGTGTATTCATCCCTCAGATTTTCCTGACTGCAGCAAAGCAGGTGCAAACACAATCTGTGAATAGTGTAATATTTCTTTTGGATGTCTTCAGGAAACCTGGGAGCTTTTCACTTTTCATTCTTGATCTCAAGGCTTCATGTGCATATTGTGGCAAATCACTAAAGCAGAGGACAAAATAAGATGCCAAGTAAACCAGAAACGTCATGTGCCAAAATCCTTCATGCAGGATATTGCATATTGAGAAGATAATGAAGCGATATTGCAGCATGAATTCACTAACAAACACTTTAACTATTTCTAGAATGTGACTGGGAAACAAAACATTAAATGCAGTATAGCTAATTTAAATGTATTGCGGATTTTTAAAATGTTGAAACCAACTGTGTATATAATATCTACCAATGATTCTGATGTGACTTTGTACATAACATATTAAAAGTATCAACAATACCCTCCATCCAGTGTTTTGTGAGATTTAAAAAATGAGATAAACCACAAAAATGACACAAAATACAACATTTTATTTTAGAATAAATTCTCAATGGCACGTTACATAACCAAATATACATATACATTTTTTAGACATCTTTTAAATTAATATATTCCTCTAATAATTTTTACGTTTTTAATTAGCATACTGCAGTTACATTTGTACATGACATCAATGCAAAAGAAGTTATCGTTTTAATAAATTAAGCATATTAACAGAGGAAAGGCTGCAGGGCATTTTAGGCGATACCTGCTACAAACTAAACTTTTCTGATATTTCTGTCCCTGCTTCTCTCTCTGGAGGTAATCACTGGCCTATAAGTAAGCACAGTGTGTATAAGTCAATGCTGTTAACTTCCTTGAGGTTTGTATCAAGAAACTTAACAGCTTCCTGCCAAGTTAAAATGTCACCCAAATTACAAGATCTTTGTAAATTAGGTGAACTGACCCTTTAAACCTTCTGAGATTTGAGTTTTGCGTGTCCTAACTTCACACACTATCAAGCCATCCAGGAATGGTTCTCCCCACGGTAAAAGTACAAAGATATTCTTCCAAAGACCCACCATCTTGGGCTTTTGGTCACATAGGAAACACATCTGTGTGTCTTTAAGCTTTTTTCTTGATAAACACAATCCCACGTTGCCCTGCTAATTCTCGTTTGTGCAGCTCCAGGCTAAGTTATGGGATAGTTGAGGACTTGAGTAGACCTATTGTGCTTTAAGCAACTGGCAATTTACTTCTAGAAGACTTTGTAATAACAACTAACAATGCGTCAAATAAAAAAATAGGAAAAAAAGCTCAAAGTTCACATTCAAATAGTTTTTGCCAAAGTGTGGTTCAAAGGTTCGTTTTTTTCAAGTCTTCTTCATCAGCTTAAATGCTGGGAACTTTAAACCCAGTAGACCATAGACACAGATACACCGAGCTAGCAAGCTTCAATGGGAGGTATCAGAAGGTGAAATGTTTTCAGTACAGTAAGTGCAACGTCTATTTTCAGCAGATGAGGGTGTTGAGCGTCTACCCACAAAGCTGCTGTAACCGGACCCCGAAGTATTTTGTCCTCTCACATAGTGAGAGAGACAGACAGATAGACAGACAGAGCGAAAGAGAGCATCAGTGGTGAAAAGAGCTTTTGATAGATTGTAAGGCGCAGCTTTGGCTAAAGTAAGCGTATGGCAAAATGCGTTGGCAGTGTCTCCTACTGTGCCACTTGTGAGCTAATTTCCACTTACCAAGCACAGGAATTTGAAGTTACCCTTACAGGTACAGAAATGCTGTCATAGATATTGACTGAGTTTCGTGTTTATAGTGCAGTAGACACAACGCGGCAGCTAGCAGGGTTACAAAAGCATCCTGAAAATGAAAGGTGTTCCCTAGAAAAGCACTTTGTATATGCAAAGCTCAGATCCTTCAGTGGAGAATTGAGACTCCCTTTTCCAAAACGCTGCTACTGTAAGTCTACATTATATTTCCGTGCATGTGTGTGTCTGTCTGTGTGTGTCCACATACTTTTTTTTAGGTAAAAGAGGAACTGTTGCCAGACGTACCATTTAAGAGAAAAGGCAAAAAGGGAACATCCTGATGTCTGACAATTGTTAAAGAGGTCCTTTGCACTTTCCACTAGATAAAGAGTAACAGTTTAGCCATAGTCTCAATCTAGGTACTTGAGAAAAAGCTGAGGCGGTCTTACTCTGCCCACTCACAGTATTACAGCTATGCTAGGACCCTCGTGTGATGTGAACACTTAACAACTGAGATGCAGCAACTTGTAACATCGGCAAAGTATTTATCTAATTTCTATAGCCTAAGGTAGGTTAAAGGAAAGCCCACATGTTAGCTGATTCTCCTCACTATACACTCACAGTATTGTCAGTTTGTTTATAGTTAGTGGGGACTCCGGTGCAGGTGGTAATCATGGCGTGATCCTTGGCGTATGGAAGTGGTTCTCCAGGGGTTTTGTGGTTGTTGTGTTTATTTTTTTGCAGCATCGTTCGCCCGCGCTGTCCCTTTGTTGTGCAAGTCTGATATTTTCCTTCCACAAAGCTACTCGGACTGAAAGAGAGGAAAGTGAACAGTTAGAGGAGAGTATTCACAAACTGAAAGCTTCTTTCTGTCTGGGCCTATTACCCAACACCAGTTCGCCTGTGTCATGACATTACAAAGATAATAAGATGGACATTCAGTGATATATCTCGTAATTTGTATTTTTTACTATGACTGTGTAATAAGAAACAAGCCTTACAATGTTGTTTTTAAATTTAAAAAAAGCTAACCATGCACACTTACAGTTGTGGATGACTGGCTCATTTTGTCAAAGCGGAACTTCAAGTTTGACCTCGGTGACGTCTTACTTTTCACATCTGCTGAATATGGGAGAAGGAAATGGAAAGAAAAGGAAGAACATGCTCATTGGAGAGTCTGTCATCTCACGTTGTGAATACTTAAAGTGTGTCTGTGTAAAAACATAGATTTACCTGTTGGACTGCGGCACATGATGACAGGCGTCCCTGATCCCTGGCTGTCAACACTGAGGGAAGGACTGAAGGCGGAAGAGGACGCTATAGAGGGATGGTTGGCCTGGGGGAGGAGAGCACAGAAGCATTTATTATTGAGGAAGAGATGGGGGAGGAAAGGAACTGAAGAGGCTCAGGAAACAAAAAAGGGATATTTTAGCTGAAGTTGATTTAACACTTCCTGAAGGCAAAGAGGCACCAAATGTCGGGAAGGAAGTACGGAAAGGATGCTTGCGAGAAAGAGCATGTTTACTTTCTGAGACATTTGCTCAATGAAGGCACATTATTTTAGGCCTGCAAAAGTTGCAATGTCTTTATGTAAAACAGTAGTTCATAGCGGTAAATGGCTGACACTGTGTGAAGCTTAAAAACATTTTACCCCACCAGCATCACTAAAGCTAACTAATTACTCTCACTGCCAGAGGGGGGAGACAAAAGCTCAGCACTTCAGCTTTAAGGTGAAGAAGAGCAAGACTTTTTTTTTATGAAACACTCTGGTGTACTTTACTGCTACATATTATTTTATACGTTCTGGCCCTGAAAAGTTACAATTTCTACAGCCCACTGTTTATCTGTCTGATAGAAGATAACACGACTAGCAGTATCATTTGAGACACAGAAAGGGAGAGGAGCTCTAATCATTAATACCAAAGCGCTGATACTTAACACTCTCCATTAGACGGTCTTTGGTAATCACAGACTATCTAACCCATCAAGGCTTCTAAATGAACCAACAATCTCACACTCAGTTAAACCTATCTTTAAACCCAAATACTGATTGTTTGGAATGTCCTGAAAATATGGACAGTCTTTAAGAGTTGAACTCACTGTCTCCAGTTCTTCCAGAGCTTCTGTTTCTCCCGTGGTGCTGCTGAAGCTGCTGGTGCTGGACGAAGAACGAGAGATGTTCGGTCTGCCGCTGCTGCTGCTGCCCTCTTTCAGCTTAATGAACGGCCTGTGGAGAGAAACAGAGGGGAACAGAGATGTAGAGAAGCTGACCATAAGACAACAAAAAACTAGGGACATAAGAGCAACTTTGCCTAGTTTTACTTTTGCCATCTCCTACCTCTCTTTGTTGGGGCAGATCTCCGGTGAGCTGGGATTGGACGATGTCTCTGACCTTACTTCTTGGGAAAGCGAGCAGACCTCTGCAGTCTTTTGGTCACTGCAGACAAAAGAAAACGGATAAATAAAAATAAAAACACAGACATTGAGAGTGTCTATAACATACTCATAACAGACTCCATTGGAGACTTCTTTCTGAAGCCTATTGGAGATACCATTGTATTATCTGTGGTACAGCGGCATGTACCTAATAGCTGAGGGATCGCGGCATGTAGTGTTGTTATATCTGTGGTACCATAGTACCATAGTATACCATGGTATGTACTATAGTTTACTATGGAAAAATGTCTAATAGGAGGGATTTTTACTTGTAAACTTCAACACAATGATATTGCTTCTTTTATTTAAGCATTAAATCTGAGTCCACCACTTCCTAATACCTACTGAGTCCACCACTTCCTAATACCTAATCCCAAATGCTGTGACATTTAAAACAGTGAGACGAGCAAAACACCAACCTGCGTGTGTGTTTGTCCGATGGGGATTCTGTGCTGGAGTGAAGACGAGGGAAGAGGCCTGAGCGCCGTTTCACCGGGCTCTTCAGAGGAGACTTGGCTGACAACACAGGAGGCTGAAGATCACAGAATACACAATTAAGTTCTCCCTTTTGAAAAGACATAGGGTAGACTCTTAATGACTAATTGACATTAAACAATTGTCCCTTAAACAATTGCATTATTCTCTGTTTGACACAGAAGCTCTCAGTGCAAGCTGTTTAAGAGACTGGCTTGAATTATTTAAAATCACAACACAGATTTACTTTATTTTCATATTACCTTAAGAATAGTAATATAGTACTTTTACACAGCACCATTTCCCACTCAATTTAAAGTGACCCTTCATCACCCATTTCCCTTCCCTTTAAGTCCTTTTACTCACAGTGAAGGTGCTCTTTGTGCATTCACTTGTGCTCTGCGGCAGCCCTCCTCCACTCACGCTGGCCGGGACCCCCCCTCCTACCCCGGGACTTCTGTGGCGGTGAGAACCCACCATGGTCTCCATAGAGTGGCTCCTGACACGCATGGCTCTCTGGAGGAAGGAGAGGAAACAGAGAGTTGGTGGATGAAGGAGAGGAATACACCGAAAAGGGGGTGAAAGGGAACGTGGAATAGGAGTGGAAAGGTACATTAGTAACATACAGATAGAGAATAGAAGTGAGGTTTTATCAGTGTAATGCAACAGTAATGTTATGTATGATTTGACGTTTAGGTTCATAGATGCTATTGTACAGAACAACCACCAGGGGGCGCAGCTCTCCAAGAATGAAGCAAAGTGAGCTGTAGTAGATGAATAAAGTGTGTTGTCCTACTTATTATTGTTACTTAGTATTAATTTGGTTTAATAATAACATTATTTATTGAAATAAAAATCAGATTGTCCTGTAATACTGTAATAGGAAAACTGTAAATATTTTAACATTATATAAAGTCTTCATTTTGCTATCTAACACAGATAGTGCTTATTTCTTTGAAAGCATAAACACAAACAACATCATATAAAAGAATGTTTATTAATGATATGGTGATCCTCTGTTGAATTTACAGTAATGCAGACAGGTAATACACAGCGACTGCCAGGACGGCAATGAGAACAGCAGCGGCTGGGACTGACTGCAGAAAGTGCATAGTAGCTGTCCATAATGCCTGTGAAGAGCAAGAGAGCCAAATTGTCACATTAGTCACACATACAATCACACACACACACACACAGATGCAAGTACACATTTACATGGTCCTATTAACATCAATTAGTCTTTCGTTAAGGACAATAGAGTGTGAGGACTTATGAGAAAAAGACAGAGTTAGTCAGCAAATGATAGAAAACAGAAGAGACAAATTAAGATAAAGGGATCATTTTTGTTAAAAGCACATAAATACAGTTGTGTTTCATTCGTTTTTACACTCACACATGATTGCACAAGTCTACACACACACACTCTTTGTGTCAATATCTCAATGAATATAGAGAAAAGCAGCAGCAACAATGGTTAAGCATCTGACGTCATCTTGCAGACCTGTGACATTTAGTTCACCTACAGCATGAAAACCCCACTCTCCTGTGCTGTGTGATTATATAAATGTCACAGAGCTGCGAGAACATTACATGCTGTCATCTATATCTCTGTGGAGGTCCATGTTCACCTTGAAGGACTCCAGCAGACCCCCGTGCCCCCCGTTCTCCAGCTTGTCGTCGTCTCCCGGCTGAAACAGCCCCAGTGTGGCCTGGCTCTGACGGTGCAGCTCGTCGTGGAGGTTGTCCAGCAGCGCAGCTCGCGTTCGCCCCTGGAATCAATAAAAAACACAAAAAAAAATCATGAAAAAATATCGGCACGGTGGTTATGTTGATGATAATGGAGGAGGCTGTGATTGATGGTCTGCTGCGAGTGGTTGTGCGGACGTGTCACTCACCTCTAGTTTGGCGAATTTGTCGGATTTGTAGCAGGCGTTTTCGGCATTGATCAGCTTCGTCAGCAGGAAGTCTCGAAACTCAGGACCCTGGAGAGAGGAAGAGAGAGAGGGAGCAATAGTGAGGGAAAGAAAGGTGACCTATAACCATCAGCACCATACATTACATCCTTACCTGTCTCAAAACCTTTACTTTATGCCTTTTTTTACTTGTTTTAATTAAAGGGGACCTATCATGCAAAATGCACTTTTGTATGTCTTTTATACATGAATATGTGTCCCCGGTGTTCCAGGGAACTCACCAAGTGTCAGAAAACACAACCCTCTCTATTTTCCTCCATACCCAAATCTCTAAAAAAGGGGCTGCAACGGATCTGATAAAAACTGATCCAGATTTGAACACTGTCCTGACGTCAGGACAGTGGCGCTACGGCTATTGGGCCAACTCCACCAATCAGGAGGAGACAACCACGGCATTGCCGTTCGAAAGCGCTGGAGACGTTGTAGTACATATGCCAGGCCTGTAGATGGTGCTGTTGCTCACAGAATCAACCCTTGCAAAAACAGAGCTAACATTTTTCAAATTGAGCAAAATGAGGCATGGCTAAAATGCATGATCTGTTTGGTATTTTGAAAAAAAATAAATATGCCTTATATAGGTATGGTCCTACACTATATTATTCAAATATAGCGTGATAGGTCCACTTTAAGATATTTTAAAAAACTAGCTATAATGGAAGAAGAAGCCCACTCAGATCCTTTACTTATAAAAGGTACGAAACAACAATGTAAAGAAATAGATCATTACTACACAAAAGTCTGCAATCAATGTCATATTTCAGCTAAATATGCATAAAGTATGACAATTACTCAAACTGAGTCAAGTAGAAGTATAATTTCTAGAGTTATATCTAAAATGCTAACCTAAGCGTGGTAGTTAAGTAAGCTTGAGTTATGTGGTGGTTAAAGTATAAATACCTCAGAGTCAAGGAGATGAAGTCAAAGCCATTTTTGTTATAATACGTTCTTTTTCCATCATGTTTAAATCCAAGTGATGTCTTAAGTCGTTATTGTTAACAACACAAAGGGTATTTCTGAATTCGTCAAGTCTATTCTCACCTTCCTAAAGACAGCTGGGTTGGGAAGAGGTGGTCCAAAAGGAGGCACATCCTCCCTCGCTGTAACAGACACCTGTTGACATAAAACAAACAATAGAAACACGTTATTAGCATGCATGGCAGGAGGCCTCATGTTTCAAGCTGGGAGGATGTAACGTCTGAGGAAATTGCAAGTGAAAATTGATTTATTCTTCACTTTGTTGTGCTTATGCATTTATTTATGTTGTTTTATGACAAGCACCCAGCTGACAAGGACCACTGGCAGTTTCAAAACACTCTTCACACAGCGTTTGATTTACTCTTCTACAGTTATTAAAGAGCAACCCAGAATAGGAGTTATGTCTTCTATACCATGCAGGCCTGGTTTGTACCTTGTAGGTTGTGTGCTCTGTGCAGGGGTTCTCCACCTGCACCAGCACATAAGAATGCAGGAAATTTGAGGCGATCATGTCTGGAACAAACGGTGTGGGATCTTCCTGGAAAACTGCAGCCACGATGTCATTTCCTATGTGCCTTTTCCTCTGGAGCTAAAGAGTTAGAGGGGAAAAGTCAAAAGATTACAAGTTGGTAAAGGCTTTGGTTTTATGGCTGTGTGGCTTATAGGTAACATTTAAATCAACAGTAAGAGTTTTTTATGACACATGCTGTTAACCGCTAACAAACACAGGATTTACAAGAGGCTTTTAATTGCATCAGTTCAAATAACTTGTAAACCTCTGATTTACATTTAACCACAGCTTACATAATGGCAATTCAGCAAGAAGAACCGCATGACATATTGCCAATATCTGACTGGTTTAAAATCTTGCAGTTAAATCTAGCGATATTAAAGCCATAATTTACCTGCTGCACATCTCCCTCAGTGAAGGGAAGCTTGGTTGACACATGGAACATGATCTCTCTCTGTCTGAAGACGGTGTAGACTGATTCAGTGCCCGTTTGTCCGTGAGATACATCCAGCCCACCGCGGAACCTGGCATTATCAAAGCACATGTGTCATTGTATCTTTGTGACCTCCAGCATTTAGTAATAGGATAAGATTACATTTTATGTGTTGTAAATATCTGTTTCATCACATTTTGTGCCTAACAAGCCCCAAAGCTGCACAAAAGTTTTTGGCCATAATGTGTTCTTCTCCTTTACAGTGAAGTAACAAGCGTAACACAATAGAGAAAAGCCTGCCAGGCTATAAACACAGTATACAAAGTTCTGATCACGTGTCAATGTAGCACTTTCTTTTCTCTGATCTTTTTCCCTTAGCATTTTATCCTGGTTGCATGCTAAAGCCGAACCAGCATGACAAATGTCTCCAAGGTTACTGCAGATAAACCCTGCTATTCTGCTATCATCCTCCTTTTATTCCATACTGTTATTGCACATATACATTTTGTACTTTTCTGTTCATTGCTACCTCCTTTATAACCAGGGGTGCACATAACTGGTACGCAGGTACGCATGCGCGGCAACAATCTGAAATGCGTACTGTCACTTGTGTCACAAAGCGCATTTGCGGACCGACGTACTTGTGAAGCTTTTCCAGAAGGTGGTTAGATAGGGCTGCTGTTAACGTCGGTCTGTACAGCAGCCCTGCGCTAAAACAGCTGATCACAACGTGCTCTGTACTCCACTATCACCCCCCCCCCCCCCCCCCCCCCCAGTTGACAATCGCCAGAAGTTGGAGTACCAAACACTTGTGAGGTACTCATCTGAGTACCTCACTGAGAAAGTTGTGTGCACCCCTGTTTATAACTGCACAGCTCTGTCACTTTGAATTCTGATATAATGCACATATTTGCGTTCTTAGAGTACATTGTCATTTTCTTATTGTAGTTAGTTTTAGTATAATTATATTTCTAGCAAATATTTATTTTTCTATTTTTTATTTGTATGTTTGTAATACTAATATATGTGTTTGTTTTTTTAAATAATTAAATTCCTCTTATTGTATTTTAAATGCACCATATACACCAAAGCAATCATTTTTTACACAAAATATCGGATTATCATTCTGATTGCAATGCACTTTAAAAAGGCATATGCCTACATTATTTTTCGTAGTTGTGTTTTTCTTTTTCTGGTCTCCCAAATCCCATCTGTTAAGCCCCAAGCCTGTTTTTCAGGTCTCAGGCTCGAAAATGACATTCCCAGAACAAATGACTATAACTTCACTTCTAAAAGGGGTAAATTAATAATCTTTTTTCTCAAAGCAATGATAAACCTGTGAGTTGGATGAAGAAAAGTCAGAATCAATATAGAATTCTCGGGCGATTTTGACGATTGACACCTCTTTTGAACCGTTAGAGCCAATAGAATCGAGGGAAAGTGCCTAAATCCATCTAAACATTACCATTGAGGAGTGAGAGTGATGCACACGCAGTTTTCCCAAAACCAGAAGCTGGGTTGTAGCTCTAATAGCAGCTAATATGAAATCTCCGTTTTTGACAAAAATGGAATGATGGATTATCAGTAATCATTTCAAAGTGACACAGACACATTGGATTAACCTTCAGCAGCGTTTTTCTCGTTTTAATGCCATTGAACACAACTTTTGATCAGAAAAACAGCAAAGGTAAGAAATATTTGCCGTTTTGGCTCAGTAAAGCTACACTGTGTGTTGTCTGGGTTTGCCTGAGCTGCCGCAAGTTTTGATCTCACAGTGATGATACTTATACCGCTAGAATCTGTGGAATCTCAGCTTTATTCTGATATCTTGTTTGTGCAGATCCGATAAGTAATAAAGTATTGCTACCGTGAGTTCTGTGCTAAGTGCGTTAGCATTTTTTCGCTCAGGGCTAATTCAGAGGCTCGGCGTTAGAGTTGTGTTTTGTTTCGGTAAAAATGGTTCACATCGTCAGTTAGCTGAGTTTCTTCCCGTTAAAGGTGGGGTAGGTAAGTTTGAGAAACCGGCTCGAGATCGCTAGAATTTGAAAATACACAACCGGAGAAAATCTGCCACTTCCTTACAGAGCCCCTCCTCCAACACACACGAACGCGCACATGACCAATGAGGGCACGAGATAAGTTTGTGCACAGATGGAAGGCTGACAGGCAGGTAGGCCATCCAGTTATTTTAGCCGGGCCGGCTAAAATGATTGGTCGTACTTTTTACAGTACTACGGCTTCCACAGATGAAATTTTTTTATGGATTTTTTGTCAAAGCACTTAAGATATTCATTGCTATCGGGATGTTAAGAGCATTCCATGGAATATAACAAAAAGTGTATCTCGAGCCGGTTTCTCAAACTTACCTACCCCACCTTTAAGTGGGTATGACACATTAATAGGTTGTTAAATGTTAAGCAGCCCTCAGACGCTGTTTCTTGCAGATGGTGCGTTTTGCCCAACAGGTTAAATTCTCTTCACTTTTTTTTTCTTTTTCTTTATTAAATCACATTGTAGTCCTCTCTTACCCTTTAAAGTCCTCAAGTTCAATAGTGTCGCCCAGAGTGCTGAGAAACTCCTTGAAAGCTGGCGTCTCCTCATTGTTCCCAAACAACATTTCCTCTGATGTCTGAGAGAAGTAATCATTATGTAATTGAGAAACAGAAAACAGGGCGAAAAAAACTAAATATAAACAGTGTCTAAGATCAAATAATGTGTGCGAGTTAAACTGACAAGATCATCATGGTTGCTCACCTGTCCAAACTTCTGGTAGACGACTCCAAATTTGAAGGTGTTGTTCACCTCGTGTTCATCATAAGCCACTATCAAATGGGATCCCTGCACAATGCACAAAAACAAATATTTCTTACTAACAGTTCTCCCCATGGTTATCTAACTTGTTACACATATTCTTCTTGCTGTCGTAGTAAGGAAAACTAGTTTTTTCGAGTTCTAAAACATGTCTCGAGGCAGGTCTATTTGGGCCCGTGTTACAGGCTGACATGCGACAAACTGTTCCAGCCCTCAGAGAAGGCTCTCAGCGACACAGATGGGTTATTTTTCCTCTCCCGGGGCCCAGGCTGAGAGCGTGCTCCATCTCACTCCTCCGCCTGGCTCACAGGAGGGCAAACAGAGCCATCGTGACCATTTTAGGAAATCGCCATCTCTTCAATCATTTTTGAATAATTGACTTACTGAACAGGCCAGATGTTAGCGCAGTAGGGGGCTTATGAGGGGAACATGTGATAAGTTGCGTGCTATATTTCAGGTTGAGAGGGCTAAGGTCACAAGTTAATGAAGGCGTTGGAATAGGAACAGGTGTCTGAGGTAACCTTCAAAATAAAAACCCAGGCCCTTAGTAAAGTATATGACACATTTATAGAGGTGAAGAATATACACAGTAGAAATAAGGAAGGTATAAAGACGTGGGAGATGTTATTTAATGTAGTATTAGCACTTGCGACCCTACAGTGCACCTTTGTCACTGCGCAGAATGCTTGAATAACTCATTGATAACAGGCCAAATGAGCTGAGGGCAGACTACTAAGAATGAGTTTGCACTGTGGGAGTTTAGGATGAACTTACCCGAGGGTACAGAACCGGGTTAAACTTCAGCCCCGTGGCATCATCACACAGAAGCTAAAAGAAGAAAAATATATCACTTTGTTTGACTGGAATCATATGAGAAAAATATCATTATAGTTAAAGTATTGAAAGTAAACACTGTACTTGTATAAGGCCATTGAGGTAATGCACAACATCTCACAGGCAATCAATCAATTATTAAAACATCACATAATTAATATATTTTAAATATATTAAATGTATCTCTTGACATCTAAAAATCACAATATTTTGCTCAATGAAAATCTTTGATCACATTGCATATCCCTGACTGGATCATGAAATCACATGTCAGGGTAAAACATTTCCAAATGTAAAATGGGAAGCATGGATGATAATTACTGTTGGAGGATTACAGAAAAAGCAAGCATGTTTCTATTTTTTCTTATTTAATGTGTGAATGTTTTTCTGTCTTTTGGAAGTGAGTAATCAAAAGTATTCTGTTTGCCAGACTCTTCCCAGCTGTGTTTATTAGAGAGAGAGAGATCTCACTGTTTGCATTACCAAACGAGAATTTGCATTTCCCCTGGCAGGCTTTACGGCCTGTAAATAATTGATCTCTTTCATTAAAATATAGGTATTGCTTCTTTTGTATCTCATTGTGCAGAATAACAGTTACCAAGGTAAGTTTGTTGATGTTTGGCTTCATGTTTTAAAGGTTTACAAAGTAAGAAATAGTAAATATTCCTAACTTTTTATTCTGCCTTATTTATAGAGAACCGCAGTGACGCGTCCTAATACCCGGAAGTAAGTTAGCATTTTTACCACGTCCGGTTCCTTCGACAAAAAGCAATGCAATTTCTCCATAGGATTTTGGAAAATAGCTTGAAATAAGGTCTGTGGTTGACACAAATTGAAGAGACACATCACGTTTTGTTCTACGACATTAAATCCATCAGCAGTGACCCCGCTGGTGATTTTTGACGAGTTTACGTGTCTGAAAAACGATGGTTGTTAACATGTCGCTGAATAGGACTACAGAAGTTGTCCAGGCCGTTTTACGTCATTACACCGAACACGTAAAACACTCCCGCTAAGTTTGTTTGCCGTGTTCTGCTTGAAAGCAAGTACCTGCCTCCTGCAAACTGTTAAAACAAACGCTTCAACTTGTACCATTTAGAATCTGTATGTTTGAATATGGATCTTAAGTTGGCGTGACGTTGAAGCAGCGACCCTGCTGTAGTTCGTTTATAGCATAACGTTAGCATTTTGCTTCTGGCGACTAGATTTATGATTAGAAAATTATAAAAGTAGGGTAGACATGTGGATATTATCCGGCTGAACAAAACGTGATCCGTCTCTTAAATGTGTGTCAACCACAGACCTTATTTCCAGCTATTTTCCAAAATCCTATGGAGAAATTGCATTGGTTTTTGACGAAGGAACCGGAAGGAGTTTACTTCCGGGTTTTAGGACGCGTCACTGCGGTTCTCTATTGGTTTGTCTTATTTCACTGGTATTATCAACCTCTCTGTTTGTTTTGATTGTTTTCTTTCATCCTCTTGTTCTCAAATTCAGACGTATTTGTTGCTGTTATATTTTGTCCTGTGTTGCAATAAAAGGTAGGAAACATTGTGAAATGATTTATTTATGAGATCATTAAGATGCCGTAAAGATGTCCTTCTTCAGCTCCTTTGTTTCCCCTTAAGAGCCGACCAGACTTCATTCATCATATCCAAATTATGTTTTGATGTTCCTCTGAATACATGGAGGGTGTAGAGGGTTTATGGAGATTTGCTATTTTTAAACCTTGTGTATTTTTAAACTGTCTCTTACCTTTGCAATCTGCGGTACACTAGGGAGCTGGTTGATTCCTGCTAAAGAGATCCGGTCATGGACGGTTTTGATCCTCGACCTGCAACAGACCAAGAACAGAAGCTAGTCAGATTGTTCAGAGATGTGTTTATATGCAATGATGTGACATTAGGAAAAACCTATGATCATCGTGAGTTTAGTGTAATCAGATAAAAAAGACAGCTACAGTAGTGATAGGCAGATTGATACACAATGAAGAGGAGCCCCCACAATGCTAATCTAAAAAACATCGCATCACTTCATTGTTTTCCTTTTGATTAAAATGTCACCAACTGTGATAATGTCAGGAAAGCTGTCTCCTAAAGCGCCACACATCTGCTCAGAGTTAATCATGATCATGTGCATGTCAAGAAAAGAGAAAGGAGACAAGTAAGACCCAACACATTTCAAACAAGAGAGAGAGAGTTCATTTTTCTTTACAGCCATGCTACCTCTGTGGCTCGGTGCACGGCAATGTCGCTATTCATTTTCAAAATTGGTCCACCACTTCTGTCTAGACTGAAATATCTAAACAACTCTAGGATCGATGGCCATTAAATGAAGCCTCTTGACAAGAACTCATTCTACAATTATGATCCTGTAAGGATAATTTGATGTTCCTTCTACATTTCATCTAAAGGTCAAAACGTTGGTTTTTATATCAAAATAACAAAATGCTAATAACCTATCAAGCAGCTTTAGCTGTTTTGTCTGAATTTGTCACTGACTAATTAGCAGTGGTGGATGTAACTGAGTAATGTACTAACTGTATAATATGTTGGTACTTGTACTATACTTGAGTATATATATATTTTATGTATTCATCTCAAAGCCCTGCTGTGCTTACTGTATGTATACTGCACAATCTCAGAGAGCGACTAGCATAGTCATGGTATAATCTCAGGTAAAGTAGAATAGAATAAAAACGTAATAATTCAGAGAACAAGAAGAGCAGACACGTTAAAGACAGACTTTCAAAGTCATAAAGCAAGAGAAACATGGATTTGACTGAAAAGGGTGAGTATGTCACATGAAATGCATTGAGTCAAGATATAGAGAGGCGAAGTCCCTCCCCTTCCGGTTGAGCTCCATGGGACCTTATTTCGGAAAAGTTATGCATTGAAGTCAATGGAGAGAGAAAGATTATCTTTCGATCCCGTTTGAATTGTGCCACGAATTACACATATGATGTTTGTCAATTTAAAAGATAATTTTTCAAGTCAAAAAAATAAAAATGTGTCGTAAAACTGTGAAGTAACACTTTTTTTGTGTGACACCGCTCAATGAACTACATCTCCCGTCTCTTACCACACACCAAGACGGCCGTCACGTTGGCACATTTCACTTCTTTCTTTCAGAATGAGGCGAAAAGTATTAAAAGAGGTGAAAATCACTACAAGTCTGGGCGTGTTGAGAGCTGTACATACACACAGGGAGAGTTAGTCGGTTCCGTAAGAGCCAGCATGCAGGACCGGGATTCTGGGATTTGTAGTCTTTCTAGTTGCGTATTTTTCATGGTCTTATATTTCAACAGTTTTACGACAAACTGTGACTTTTTTGACATGGACATTATTATTTAAGATTGACAAACATCATATGTGTAATTCGTGGCACAATTAAAACGGGATCGAAAGATAATCTTTCTCTCTCCATTGACTTCAATGCATACATTTTCCGAAATAAGGTCCCATGAGTCCCACCGGAAGGGGAGGGACTTCGCCTCTCTATAGCTCTGACAATTCATCACCCTCATTACCTGAGCATGATGCGCAGGAACTCCTGTCCCTCAGCCTCCTCGTGTTTCAGAGACATGATGAGGTGTCCTATGCTGCTGCCGGTGCAGTAATAATTCATGTGTTCCTGAATGCATGAGAGAGAAAGAGCGTGTTAGGTCAAACACAACAGAATACTGCCTCTGCTTCATACATAGTAGAACCTGACATTAATACACACTCACTCACCTTGCCTAGGAAGTGCTTGCGGTAGGCGCGAGCTGTGCTGTTGCACTCCAGGCGGTAGCTGTGCCCTCCTGCGGGGCTCATGCCCTCTCCTCCGTCCTCCTCCTCACAGAAACTGGACTCTGAGGAGGAGGGAGTCCCTACTGGTGCCTCCACATCTTCAATCCAGTAACCCCCAAACTGAGGTAGGATCACCTGGGGGTACGGACCACCTTTCCCCAGGACCTAGGACAGAAGGGCAGGAGGGAGGAAGATAAAAGCAAAAATATAGTCAAACATAAGAGCTCTCGGAAGCAAGCAGAGTTCTCCAGAATAATACCCTCATAAGTTATCCTTGTTAAGCATGCAATAATAAAAAAAAAAGACAAAGTACTTGAAATGTATTATCTATTATCAGAAACACTTCTAGCTAGTGGATACACATGCGATGGGTGTAAATGAGTGTATAAAGTGAGTGAGAAATGACTCACATCTTCTATCCGTGGGTAGGGGATATAGTCATCCTGTCAAATAGAGGACACACACACACACACATTGTTAAAGGGACTCATTTTAACATAATTAAACTTCACCAACTACCACCACATAATGTACAGCTGCGAGCACAGTCACAAACACAGTCACAGAAAGGTAACACAACTTTTTATGCCAAAATGAACTCTGAGGAGATGATGCAACAGCCTGAAATGCACAGTCATAAGCGAGCATCAATGAGGGCGTGTCACCCCCTGATGATGTTGGAGGTGTTTTGATTCAGTAGCCTGCTGGGTTAGGAGCTGCTATGAGCCTGTAGTTGTTTGGTAGTCTGCTAGCGTAGCACAGCTCGGGTGTATGACCTCTAAATAGTGCTGAGGCCCGTCCGCAGCACTAAGGGCGCAGCGCTACGGGCAGCCACTCATTTATATTCTGCATCAGCAGGAGTCAGGAAACTGGCAGTCCAGAGAGGATCAATTGACAGTTGGAGTTCATTCAACTTATAATCAATCAAATCAGTAGGCTATTGATTTTGTACTTTAAAAGCCTTGAGAAAAATGTGAAAAGCATTCACAGTGGGGGGGTCGGATTCCTTCAAAGGCTGACAGATGAGACAAGAACAACCACAGAGCAAATCAGGAGGCATGATGAAGCAGCGGGAGGAAAACATGCAGAGATGTGTGCTAGTGTCTCTGGTCACACCTTCCATCTTTTGGTCTCTTCAGCTTTAGGGACCTTATTAGTGTCCGAACGCAGCATGAGGATGGAAAAGCACAAGGGTCAAAAAGAGAAAGTTTGATTTATATTTTTGCAATATAAACTGTCCCTGAATATCTTGTTCTCAGACCTCACTGTCTCTGTTGCCAGACAAATTAATGAGGCACGCACGCACGCACGCACCCCCCCCTCCCTCTGAATCCAGCTCCCGCAAATGCTTTGTTTTTCCTTTCCTCAGGTGTCCCTTTTTTGGGGACACACCAGAACTTAGACATGAACTGAGACAGCAGAGTTTTGTATTTATATTTATAGTTATTAAAATATGGAAAGCCAATCTATTAGACTGAAACTAAATTGGCCAATTATGGTTCAGGCCCAGTGGAATAGCTTGTCTCCATGACTGAGTGTTGAAATAAGCGTGTGGGGATTCAGAGTGCCGTACATACACACCGCCACCACCACCACCACTTATAATGCTACCAAATAACAATAATTAATTCATACAAGAAAATACTTTTGGACGCACACACACACACACACACACACACACACACACACACACACACACACACACACACACACACACACACACACACACACACAACACACACACACACACACACACACACACACACACACACCACACACACACACACACACACACACACACACACCCACACACACACACACTTCTCAGTCTGCTCTGTAGTGGTGTGTGTGAGTGCATATTGATGGAGCAGCTGTTACAATCACGAGGGAGTCATCGTTAACAATACGAGACTGATCACAAAGAAGCACTGAAGAGCTTTTCATTTTCCGTCATAGTCCGAGAGACAAAGACCAGGAGAGGATAAAGGAAGAAGGAGGCACAGGTGTTAAGAGGTGAAGTTACAGGATGACGAAGAAAGGAGGGTAGAAAAAGAGATGAGGGTCAAAAAGGTGACCTTTATCCCACCATCCAGATTACAGTATAGAAGCACGCATTGAACACTGAGTTCCATATGTGGAGTTAAAGATGGCAGAGCTCAAGAGAGCAGGTCGATGCAAGCTGAGGGTCAGAAAAGATGGATGAGGAGCGCAGTTTCTGTATGTGTGTGTGAGACTCTTTGATGATGGCGCTGCATTGACTGACTGTCATCACCCAGTCACACTTTCCAAATAAATCGACTGATGTTTTCACTGAGCTGTGCGTCTGTATCTCCCAGAGCGGCATAACTCCTGCCTGTCTTCTTCTGGGTTATGGTGGACAGAAAAACATAATTTTCAGTCCTAATTTCCCTACCCAGTTTATGTAGACTATTTCTTCATACAGATGTGTTTCCATTTACATTTGTGACCCGCTCTATCGAAATCAGTCGGAAGTCGCAACGGCTCATTTCAAAATAAACGTGGATTTGCGTAAAAAACTATTTTTTCGGGGTTCGGGTGTTTTGTTTGATTTTAAATAAACAAAGTCTTGGCTTTCAGAATATGAAACTTTTATTTCCAAAATCACACGATAAATACATTTGTGAAGCTTGTAAAGGGAAGATGACAGGCACCTCTCGCTCGCAATCTGCTCTTCCGTAGCGCAGCTCCCCCTCCCTCCGGCTGAAATTATGAATGTAAGGCATATAGTAATCATAGATAACACGGCAGGGTCCGTTACAGTTTGTTTTCATCTGATTTCAATTAAACAAAGTCTTGGCTTTCAGAATATTAAACTTGTTTCGGCAAATTTAGATGATAAATACAACTATGAAGCTTGTAACGGCATAATTACAAGCGGAGAACGGAGTAATTTAACGTCACAGCAAGCATAACAACAGCCGGTGTTTCTCGTGAGTGTTTTCCCCGGGAAACAAACACAATATACACAAACGTAAAAATACACAAACACACACACACACATACACACACACACACTCGCGAGCTTCCCCCAGACCAGTAATCCAAACGGAAATATTTTCCCTCCGGACTATTTTGATCATTTGCTCCGCTAATAATCAATCAGATCGATGGATTCCAGAGAAGAGGAAACTTTGAAGGCCTTTTTCTCAAAATGATGACTCGGTGACAGTCATTATATAATGTGACATATTTTGCTTAATATTTGGAGAACAAAAACAATCCTGATATCATTAGAAAGCTAGGAATCTCCTCTTTCCAACAGTGTATACAACTCAAAATGTGTCTTCGGGTCAATGCGACTGATTTCGATAGAGCAGGTCACATTTGTTGTTGCTCAAACAGCATCTGTTAGGAACTATTTTCAGCAGCAGATTTAAACCAATTTGGTATATCTTTCAGCAGCAGGACATTGCATGTATTGACCCAAAAATAAACTACAGCCTGTTTATTCTATTGAAGGAACATGTCACCCAATGCAATGTAGGGAAAAGAGGAAAAATTGTATAAAGCAAATTATGATGCATGTTTGAGGATTAATGCATTGTTGCTCTTGATGTTTAACATGAGATTTATTGATAACAAATGCAATAAAGAATATAAGCAGCCTAAAAAGAGGTGTTCTATACAGTAGGCGAAAGAGCCTTCCCTTTTTTGTTATGGGTAGTTTAATGTGCTGATGTATGGATAGATTCATAAAACCTACTATCTCTTCCTAATTCATGTCAGTGGTCCCTTGAAACCTATTGGATGCTGACCATGCTGCAGAGAAATCACTGCATTCTCAACTAAACCTAGACTAAACCTTGTACGACTACATGATTGACACATTTTAGAGGTAAACCATAAACCAATACTTCCCTAAAGAATCTGCAAAAGCATTTCTACTTCTCTTTGAATCTTATTTCAGCCACTTGTTCCTGTTCCTTTAATTGCTCCTCACACTTTCTTCCTCCTCCAATCCCCCTCCCTTTTGATATCCTCCCATCTGTCCAAAGACTATTCATACTTGTGCCCAAGAGGGGGGGGTCACAAAGAAGTGTCATACAGAAAGAGAAAGACTGAAAATCGATGAATTCCATACAGAGACGGAGAAAAAAGTAATGCCATGAGCAACAGGCTGAACCCAGCGGGCTGACCTATACTGATTCAATCATCAATGTCTGTCTCAGCCTCGTACATGTTAAATCTGGCCACGGTTGGGGAATAAGAGCGAGGACAGATACCATCTCACAATATGTTCAAAATGTACTCGGTGCAAGAATCTCCAGCTGGCACAAACATGCTGCAAATGTTTCTCAATAGGAGGAAAAAGAGGGGGTAAATAAAGAACACAAACAAGTGGATCAAAAGATGAATGAAAATGTCCTACCTGCATCCTCTCCAGCATATCGAAGAACTCTGCAGACTGAAACAGAAAGAGGAAGAATACAAAACATATAAGACAGAGTGCGAAACGTTGACTTCCAAAGCATCCTCAGAATCTACTGACACCAAAAACACATTTAGTCAGCACAACACCCTTTCCCTGACTCTAATTTACACTTTAAACAAGTGTTTCGACACTCAAAGCAAAACCAAAACGTATGAATTTAAAGGTCTTACATGGGTTACATTGGTGTTGACCGCAGAATATATTACTGGCCAGCTCACTCTGTTTGACTCTCCTCAACTGTGTAAACTTAACCGTGTCAAAATGGCAAGGCAGGGGAGAGACTCCCAGCCCCTCACACCCACATGTACACACACTGATAAGCAACCACTTCCCCAGAAAGTAACACACACTCGAACAAACACACACAGCCTCGAGTCCATTTACACTTCTCTGTCTCCGGGGCGGCCACCCCGCCACATAAACAAGCTGTGAGGGTGATAATGGGCTCCATGGCTAGGGTCTTTGTCCTCAGATTTCCTCACATGTATTTTGTTTAGTGCAATGTATGCCTTGTTGTTTCAGCTATACAAGTGTGTATGCGCACTCACTCAAAACCTTGGCACCTCATTAACCCTCCTGTTGTCTTCGGGTCAAATCTGACCGATTTACAACTTTCATCAATCATAACTTTTTTGTTTTACATTCGATTTCATTAAGGCTTTACGATATCCTTCACAGTAGACATTTGAACATATACAATTGCTGATCACCACTGTCATTGAATTTTGGATGATTTAGTCAACTTTGTAACACCCATGGTGTTCCCGGTCAAAAATGACCGCCATAAAGAAAAGGAATTAGTAACCATCCGGATCAGATAAAACACACACACAAACACCCACCCCACACACACACACACACACACACACACACACACACACACACACACACACACACACACACACACACACACACACACACACACACACACACACACACACACACACCACACACACACACACACACACACAACACACACACACACAACACACACACACACACACACTCTAGATGTGTCATCCCCCCTTATGTGCCCATCCCCCCACATTGATCACACCTGGCAAACGCAATACATGTTCAGTGTCTATTCTTTGTATATTTACTGCAGTTTTTCATGTATGTTAAATGAAATTTGGTGATGATTAATGGTGTGTGTTAATGTAATAGCAGTTAAAACAGGACCGGTCAAATTTGACCGCGAACACCAAAGTAAGGGGGGGGGGAACGAAGGCAATAGGAGGGTTAAACTTCCTGCTAAAAAAGTGTTGCAAAACATTCCTGATAAAGAATTCACAACAGCATGGTTTCTCTTTAAGTGGTTACAACAAGAATCATGTTGAAACAAGAATCATGTTGTAACCAATGAATCATGTTGTAACCAATGAAAACAAGCATTGATAATACATCAACTACTGTATAAACATCCTATATAACCTACTTTAAATGACTTTTCAGCCAATCCAACACACTAACATGCACTATCACTCTCATAAAGGCACCAGTCTCAGAGCGGCACACTCAGTAATGTCACAAAATACAATTCAAGAGGAAATAAATGTCTTACCGATAAACTGTAGCTCATAACCAGATAAGTCTTGAGAAGTGTTTGAATCGCTGTATACCGATGGTAAAAAAAAGTAATAACCCCATTTTGCTTCACGGTAATTTGGAATACACTGTAATAAAAAATGTGCTACGCTGGTAACCTGCACTTATCCTAACCACTCCCACTGCAGATAGAACAACACACACACACACACACACACACACACACACACACACACACACACACACACACACACACACACACACACACACACACACACACACACACACACACACACACACACACACACACACACACACACACACACACACACACACACACACACACACACACACACACACACACACACAGAGCTTATCAAGCAGTTAATATTAACCAGTTAGAAGTGTTGTAAGCCGATGCAGTGCTGTGAGCAGAGTCAACACCAGACAGCCAGACCTACAATATTCAACATCGTTTAGATGGCAACTGTGGCAGTCAGCATGCACTCTTAGCAAACAGCACTCGCTATACAGTATCTAAGTGTGTGTCTGTCTGCGTTCGCATGGTTTAATGGTGACTGGGATCATATGAGGGCTAAAAGAGGAAGGAAGGAAGTTTATTTATAAAAAGCAGCTTTTGCGGTCTTATCTTTTAGTTTCCTTGAATCTATCAAGATAAGAGCTGCTTGTACTTATACACTGTTGACCATGGCATTTTAAAAGACGCACTGTTGCAGCCTGTCCTGGCACTATGAAAGGGATCCTGCCGTGATCACAGAGTGTTCATTCATCATCCACAGACACTGCGGTTACCAGAAAGGTGCTTGGACAAGAGACATCTCCCTTTCATCTATTCAGTTTTCTTCTCTTTTACTCTCTTTCCTCTTTATCCTGCCTCTTTGTGTGTTTTGCCTCTCTTTCTCTCTTTAGCCTGGCAACAACATCTGCATCTCTTATCTCCCCTGGCAACGCGCTCGGGCTATCGCAGGCTGCAGGCAGATTAGATCAGCTGCCTGCAGCCGGCCTGACTGACAGACGTGTTGGCTGCTAGAATTCACACATATTCATGTAAAGTCATGGACACAATCATCCGCACATTGACAGAAATTAGGAGATGTCACAGACAGGGACAGAGGCCTCTGTGTCTCTTGGTGTTATCTCCAGGATTAAAGGAATATTACATGATTTAAATATTTAAAAAAGCATTTGAAAACTTGACGAAAGGAGTTCAATGAAAATGAGCTAACTGTGCTAGGTGGTGCTTCTGCTATTAGTTTTTTTCTTTTTGTCATTACTTCTTTAGTACCTTTCTGCTCTGTTTATTCCTAGTGAGTCTAACTGACAGTAGTACCACTGGTATCATGCTCTTATTATATCCAACTTTCTGTCTCTAGTTTAGTGCAGTTGTTCAAAATACCAGCCAAAATCAACATTATGCTAGCATGACTTAGCGGTACATGCACAGACTCTGCTCTCCTGCCCACAACATGACTCCTTCTCTGGGTCAAGAAGGTGACGGCTGGATGAAGGGATAAGCCTGAGCCGGCAGCTCTGAGCTCCACGGCTGACAGATGTGAAGAAAGACTCAAACACTCTTATGTGTCGGATACCTGGGACACCGGCTGACATCTGTATTTGATATGTGAGTCAATAAAGTTTTGGCTTGGTCCCTGGGTTACGAAATATTGCTGCGAAGGATTCACATGTAGGTGTGAATGTGCTAAAAATAATACTTTAAAAGTTTCAGAGATGTGCTTTTCCTCCTGCAAGCTATTCTTTCACTGTCAATGTTCACTATAGTAGATGTTGTATTAACAGGATAACCAGCATGCTGCTGCTGAGCAAATGATGAGAAGATTTCCAAAGATAATTGCTCAAATTTGAGTAAATTGCTGCTTGAATTAGACTACACTACACCACACATTTCGATCTTAAAACATTACATTATTCAAAAGCAGACTGTCTACTTGTTTTATGAGTCAACATGCAGACTTACCTAGCTACTGTACAGCTGCTGAACATTGAGGCCACTGATTTCTCTGTCTTCCTCTTATTCTTACCTCTCGTCTACATTTAGAGAGTGACTTCCCTCTCACTTGCCTTTAAAGTGTATTTGGCCTTTTAAAGACTGAAGCTCAAACAGGAAATTCAAGTTACTCATGCAAACTGAATCTTAGGGACAGAACAGGTTATTCCACAAACATAGACTCAAAAGCACGCTCACTTATACACATTACATTACGTGTAATATGGATGGAATTACCGACTTTCCTTGAGTGCATTTATCCCGCTATCTTAATTTAACCCTGTCTACTGATTTGTACCCACCGCTGTCACCTGACCTCCAAGTTTAAACACCTGTCTTAACAACTGAACAACTGTCCTAAAATCAAACTTCTCCCCCAAAGGACACTCAGTTGTTAAGTAGCTCCAGTACTGCTTTATGTGTGGCCTTCCAGGAGAATCATCTTTATGGCCACTTTGTTAGAAGAGCAATGCCAATAACAGCGCTGCGTAGCAACGACATGCAATCTGTGCAATCACATGTGAGTGCTTTGTATTTATGAGTAGCGCATTAGTCATCACATTAAATGCACACAAGAGGATTTGAACACTATTGACATTTTGTTAACAATTAGAGGATCAGGGAAAATGTTTTTTAAAGAGGCCCCATGTTGCTCATTTTCAGGTTCATATTAGTATTCTGTGACTCGACTGTGACATGTTTTAATGATCAGAAAGTGCTTTATTTTTCTCATACTGCCTGTACTGCAGCACCTCTTTTCACCCTCGTGTTAGTTACAGGGCTACTGCTAGCAGCCAGTCTTCTTTTCGAAGCAAGAAACAACCCAAGGAATAAGACAACTGATATTAATTTAATTTTCACCTTACTTTGTTAACTATAATTGCCACTCAAGTCCTTTACATTTTCTTTGAGTGCCTTAAATCAACCTTATAGGGAGATCGCGCACCAGAGGCATTGCAAAGTAAAAGCGAGGCATGACGGGAACAAACGCAGATGGTGTCATTATTCCAAAGCCATTCAAAATTAACTTCAGTTCATATGACTTCACATTAAATAAAAACTAGAGCTACTTTAACAATGGCTCAGTTCCGTTAAGTGCCCCAGTTAGCTTTTCCAGTGAGACATTTCACAATATCACAGCCTTCCCTGAGTGTAACGCAGCTACTATTAATGGTATTAAGAAAATGTGCCTTTCTTTTTAGGATACACAAGTCTGCTGTGAAAAGGTCTATGCAGGCAAAGTTGGACGGTCTTTTGATGGATTTGATGCTGACTGTTATTACAGGAATTTTCGCTCATCGTAACTTCTTTACCAGTGTGACGTTGATGATGAATAGCTGACCATTAGACCACTCCAGCTCACAGCAAAATTGTGGGTTGCCGACTGATAATTACCAGAAGTCAACCACACAGCGAGAGGAAAATTGATGTCCTTCCATTTCAGATATACTTTCATTTATTTTCTCACCGTAAATGGTATTTTTTCTGTCTACCACATTATGGGTCAATCAGTGACCATGAGCCAACATTGCCTTTCAGTTGCTTTCCTACTCTTAGTGCTAACTCCCTGTCTTGTCTTCAGCAGATTCAATAATAATAATGGCTTAGTTCAAGGTGACATACTGCAGAAAGTGGCTTCCTCTCGCAGGAGCCGCCATCTATTTCCTCTATATCACCCTGCTTATCTGCCTCCCTGCAAAAGGTCCCTCTCTCTTATCATGCTGGAGGAAAACCTGAAATATTCTTATGAACAAATGCAATGCAGTGTGAGTAATTACTCTTTAAAAAACATGAACAAATTACAATTCATAAAATTTACATAAGGTAAAAAAGTATAGCACTATAATATGTCACCACATGAGTCAGTGCGACAACACCTGGGAAGGATGACTTGGCAGTCTGATGGATTTCATTTGTATTCATATTCAGTTTGGTTTTGCTCTGATATTCTTTTTTTCAATTTGCCAAGTCACAGCTTTGGCCAAAGTTACCTTTGATGGCACCGTTTGATTGAACTCAGCATAGCAACTTTAAAAAAAGCTTCCAACCTTTTCTTACTTTAGTTGGTCATAAATAAATGTTAACCCCAGGAGAATTTAATTGCAATTTCCTTTTAATAACACATCTTCTTATTGGCAATAAGAAAAGCAATCCCGAGGACTGCAAGTCATACCAGAACTGCACATAAGGGAATATAAACAAGTAATATCATTATCAGGCTTTTATTACCCCTGCATATAAAGGTAATTTAACAAATATTAAGTATTTCAAGCAGATATTAAAACGAAAAAATTACTTGACGCCTTGAGAAGCATTTACTGCAAGACTGGGACGAATGGGGAATACATTTGCATGTTTAGCAATATTTAAAATAGATAATGAAGAATCTTGCTTGAACAGAGGCTGCCCTATTTTCAATTATGATTGCATGTTGTTCATGAGATTATAATATGCCATACAAATTGGATTATATGTTAACAAAATAAAACCAAAATATCATGTAGGGTGTTTGCGGATTAGAGTTTGTGTTTTACCACTTTAATACACTGAATCTACATACATATTGTATATACATGCAAATTGATAATTTATATCATATTTTCAGGCTATTTATATGCTGCCAGAATACACAGCAAGTAGAGGACAGAAAATAAAATTGTACCATGAATTAATAAGGACATATAAAAACATCAAAGCCTGTAAAAACCTTAGTTTAAATTACGCATGTGTCATTGTGTGAAAATAGTGGTGACATGACACAGCAGTTTGACACTGTTTCTTATTGATATCAGAATCAGTAGATACAATCAATAGATTTTCCAATACGCCTCAATGAAAACCTCTATCAGTCAATATACATCTAAAAAAATGTGTGTGTTCACATGTGTGTCCGAACATATGTGTGCAGGTGTGTGTGTGTGTACCTTGATGCTGGGTGGTGCAGTGCGGGGCGGTGATGGGGGACATTCTCCCAGAGGGACGTTGGTAATGTTCAGCAGTTCCTGTTTCCTGGAAAGTAGAGGACAACATGAGGAATGAATAAGATTGATTTGTTCCAATGTTTTTAATAAAAAGGTCACCCCTCCTCATTTGGGTATGCAGTGCACTCTCACAGTTATTTGATTAGGCTGATCCTAGCACTGTCCTTTCCCTTATTTGAGTGTGTCGATGAAGACCAATATTGTCCTGTTGATTAACCCTCAATCAACCCTGAAGAGAAACACTGTTATGTATAATTAAAATCGCCCTGAAGATAAAAAATCAACAATCATTTTATCCTGCTAACGAGTTTGGCCTGTGAAAACAAAATGACTTGTCTTGTATTAAAACCTAAAAGAATACGCGTTTTGCCAGACCTGCCATTATTATCCACTTCATACCAAAACACAATTAAATACAATTACATATCGCATATTGAAGATCGTTAAAAAATATATATAAACTTTACTAACTTTTTAAAATCTAAGCCTTTATGTCCCCACCACTTTTCAACACAAAGTGACACCCTTGTATCGATGCATACTTAGGGACCCTAAAAAGTAAGCAAGCTAAATCGAAAGCTCACTGAAGCTAACTCATTGTGTAAAGCAAGACCTTCAAACTTACTACATTACGTTGTATCACTGGTATCATTGTCCATGTTTTACTGTTTTGCTTTTATTTTACATTTTAAATTGTATTTTTTCAATTGTTTTATGTTAACCTATTTTCATTTCTTGTCAGCTTTAATTCAAGGGATTTTCATTAGGATCACTGTAGATGTTTTATCTTGTTCTGTATTTATTTTATTATGTTTTTCTTCTTGTTCTGTAAAGCACGTTGGGCTGCTTTGTGCATGAAAGGTGCTATACAAATAAAGTGTATTATTATTACTATTATTATGATTTTAGCTCAAATGTAAGGTTTTAAAGTGAGCTACAGTAGAGAGCCTGTTGGAATTATGCAGTGAGGTATCAGACGGTGGCTGGGGTCCCGGGGGCCGTCAGGGAAACTTGAAGAGAAGTCCTCTGAGACCCGCAGACTCCTCTTTCATGCTGTGCTTTCTCTGTGCAGCGTGCTCAGAAGCACGAGTGCACATTAATGATTTCAAAATGTGAAAGGGTGAGCTGTGCCTGGGAGACAGCCAGAAAATGAGCCTAACCTCAGAAACCTGCCGTGTATTTGGATTTGGAGGCTTTTTTTTTATGAAATGTTCAACTATAACAATGGTTAACGTCCTGTTTTAATACCAACAATATATTATTTAACCCAACACATTGAGTTGCTCTGTTATGAAATACCTCAATGTCAATGAAACAACTACATTGTCATTGTAGGGTTGACAATGAGTGTATTCAAAACATATTTACAAATGAGGCTTTTGATAAATAATCGTCAATAACGTGGATATAATCACTTTCTGAAACACGCCCTGCCTCTTTCCTGTGCCTAAGAGGCCATGTCCCAGTGTCGCCAAGGCTTTCTTTATTGCACATTTCTATATCAATATGTATTTTACTAAAAAATTATGCAGCTGTCACAAAATCTAATTCCCCCTGGGATACATAACGTGTTCTCATTGTTAAGGGCAAATCATAGAACAACTAGAAGAGGGTTAGTTCATCAAATGATATAACTTTACTGTAATAAAAAACAACAAATATGCCATATTAGGATATTACAATGTCCAAAATCTAATATCTAGTGTTGTTTACGGTTATATTTATTACATTACATTACATGTCACTTGTTAGACGCTTTTATCCAAAGCGACTTACATACTCAATACTGTGGACAATTTGGGGTGAAGTGTCTTGCCCAGGGACACAACGACATGCTGACTGCAGTGGGGTTTGAACCTGTGACCCCCTGATCCGAACACCAACGCACTAATCCACACGCCATTTATGATATTAATTCATTTTATAGCCCTTAATGGAAAGATAAGTGTTTCAATTAAGTGCTTATTTAAAATTAATAAGCTGCTTCTTTCCTAATAGCCTATCTTTCATTCTCTCTTGTGGCTGTGTCAAGTGGCTTTTGGCGGCGAAAACACTGCCGCATATAAATGTGAAATATTGAACCTGAAGCAGCTTGCCAAAAAAGGAGAAACATTCGTGACTTCATTTAATCACCAGCGCTCCTTGCAGTTGATTGTCATTTCCAAATAATTTCTACCTGTGGCTCGAACAGCAACAGCAACAGCCAAAGCAAAAAGGAAAACCAAAGCAGGCTGGATTCTCACTGAGTCACTGCAGGCTAAAACCAAATTCCTGTTTCACCATATTCTTTCCACTGTCCAGAGGAAAAGCCCATACTGGCCAGTGCTTTCCACGGGTTCAGCATCACACAAGGCATCACTGTGTCTCACTGTGTATGTAATGTTTCAGTGTGTTAGCTCGAAGTAACCAATGGTGGACTGTGTTTGAAAGAGCTTTATGAGCCAGTTTCTCTTTTTGCTGGACATTGTTCGTTGTTCTTCCTCTTTGTTCTCTCTGTCACAGGTAAGGAGGACACTGTGTGTTTGACCTGTGAAAGTAAAAGCTTGCTAATAGGGCGGATCCCTGCTGTGTGTCTCTCCAGCTGACCTGTATCGGTGTGTCCACACACACACTTACTGTACAAAGAGAGAGGCTGTTTGCAGAGGGAAATTGCTTGTGTCCATTAAATACAGAGGGAAAGACAACAAGCCGGTGTCCTTGCAGCATGGGCTGTCTCTGTGGCAATGAAACACAAGCTACGTCACCTACTCCCACCCAGGAAGAATGGAGGAAGTGCGCATACGGAGAGAGAAGGAAGGAGGAAGCAAGGAAATAATTTAGGAAGAACAGGTCATGGAGAAAGTGAGTCAGAAGAGGGAACTTTGGAAAGAAGATTAGACGAGATGTGTGCACTCAAGGCTAAGCATAGCATCAAATGACAGCCAGTATCCTTAGGAACTATGTTTACATTGGACGATTAATCACCGTATGATTTATGTACGGTAAAAATAGACTGCCAACGCAGGAAGAAGTGTCCTTTAAAAAGGTGGAAAGTAAGGGTGTGGTGGATGGGAGTGCACAACAACAGACTTTCATAGAGACCACCATCACAGACGTTGTGCCTACAATGCAATAACATTCACAGTCAAAGAGCTAAACAAGTTTAGGGGCCAGAACATTTATCAGGTTATTCCAGTTATAGTTCTCCGTATTGAGGTTCCCTTCGATTTTCTTCTTTTTTTTAAAGAAAAGAGCCCTTTTATATTTTCCATGTGTCTTATAAAACAAGCAAGTGCATGTCATTTGTGAGAGGCCATATTTGTTGGTTTGGGCTAATTGCATTAGCTTTGCATTTTCTTTCCTTAACCCTGAATCAACTGTTTTAAATGCATGTTCATAACTTAACCATAGTGTTTACTGCAATAGCCACAATCTTTCCTTAACATTGACCTTGCCATGGTTGATGTTATAGCAAACTAATCACTAACTAATGTTGGGATTCGATGTAATCAAGGATTTCATGTGTTCAAGGACAGTAACGAGAAGACACAAAAATGTAAAAGAACTGTAAAGGGAACAAATAGGACAATGGAAATGAGAAATCCGGGAGAAACACCTTGCTGTACAGTAAGAGTCAGAAACGCTGCTTTTGGCACCACAAGAGGAGACTTACAATGCTGCAAAGTTAGCTGTGCCTCTCAAGAGGAACACCGTGTTATCAATTTCAGTTCTGACTTAATGGATACATGTTTGATTTTTGATTAGATATTTGTATCCGCGCTTTTCTGTTGAAACCTTCAATGATGGCTTCGAGGAAATAAGCAACAAGGCTGTGAAATGAAATCACAAGGTCAAATTACATTTAAACCCCTGGCTCAGAGCTGGTACAAACAGTGCACGGCAGAAATGTCCCAGTGAACCAAAGTGCAGCATTTGCCACACAATTGCATTATTTCACAGTAAATACTGGCTGCGGGGAACATGTGGCAGCTGTGTTGGTTTGTGTGACTCTCTTTGTGGCTGGGCGCTACGCCAAGAGCGCTGAAGTCACCTCTTAAAAATACATTCATCCACAACAATAAGCGTCAACTTTAATGGATTTTTAGGAAAACAGATATTGAATAAAGTGTAACTAAATTCAAGCCTTTGTCATCTTGAGCAAAGATGAAGTGGTTGTAAATCTACTTAAGCGAAAATAGGGCAGATTATGCTCTAAATTTACATCCAACCTGGTACAAGATGTTCAATTTTTGAGCACCAACATCTAAATAATCCTGCGTGCATTATGCTGCCGCTAATTATCGTTGATTCAACAGTAATTACATCTGCACAGTAATCATGTTTATCTAATGATGCCGGTGGTGATGTTTGTGTGAGAGAAAGAGAGAGACAGATAGAGGAGGGAGGGTAATACGTCTCTGTTATTTCTTCTATTGATTCACCCCTTGAGATAAGATTAGGACGGCAGGACAGCAGGCACAGGCCGGGACACGGAGAGCGAAGAGAGTGGGAGAAAATAGGGGAACAACAGCTCCATATAACCCCAGATGATAGACCGATCACAGGAAGAGGAGATAGGGGAATTAAAACAGGAAACCAAGGTGATGGAGGGTGCAGGGAGGCGTGTGGCGTAGTGGGTTGTCCGTAGGTGTTCGGATCATGGGGTCACAGGTTCAAACCCCACTGTAGTCAGCATGTCGTTGTGTCCCTGGGCAAGACACTTCACCCAAATTGCTCCTGTGGGGATTGTCCACAGTATTGAGTATGTAAGTCGCTTTGGATAAAAGCGTCTAACAAGTGACATGTAATGTAATGTAATGTAACAAAAAGACAGAGAGGGTGAACTCTTGTCTCTCCCAGGGGGCTTACTGCGCACTTCTGTTGGGCTTCATTTTGGTTATGAAACCTGATAAGAAGCCCGATCCTCATGCCAATTGGCCAATTAGACAACTGATGGTTTCTCTAATGGAGTTAATACAACAGTAATTAGAGGCAGAGAAAAGGAGAAAAATGAAGGTTGGGTGGAGGTGGAGAGCGTAGAGGCCCTGC